CTCTCTCTCCCACTCCCCTTGCTTGTGTTCCCTCTCTCGCTGTGTCTCTCTCTCAAATAAATAAATAAAATATTTAAAAAATAAAATCTTTTAAAAAAATATATGCTGGACGTATTTTTACACCCCTGTCACAAGGATAGTGTTTGAAAATGAACACAGCGTTCATGAGTTCAAGACAATGTTCAAGTTGTTCTGATTAGCTTCAAGCCTGCTAGACCACAGCACATGCTCAAAGCCCTGTGCTCTTGGAGGTCAGGAGCATACCTTAGCCCGCACTGTTTCCTTCGGAGCCCTAGCACAGTGCAGTGAGGTAGGAGGAACTCGATACACCTTGGTCTTATTACATGCTATACATCCACCAGAGAAGCAGTACTATGCTAAGCATTGCAGAAGATCCCCGAGCCTAATGCACCCCCACTTCTGTGTGTACATTTCCTGAGTACAAGGCATCAGGAGAAACAATGAATTTGTGTTCCCATTCATAAGGAGCAGTTATTAGTCAATGCCAAAACGTAGTCTTAACAGCTGCTTTCTTTTTTACCCCCCTCCCCAGTAAGTGAAAACGGTGACCATGAGACATGAACACAGTTGTGGATGAGAATTTTCTCCACTCCGGAATTACCCAGAGGAACTTGGCTGACCCCCGCTGCACACAGAGTAATAATCAGCTGGATTTAGGAGTTTGCAAGGTGTCAGGGGAGCCTTGGTCCATAGGCTGATCAGCAGATGTGATGTGAAAAACACCACACTATTCTATCATTTGCTGTTGCTTGCTCAACTGTGAAGAACTGCATGAGCTCTATTTAAGCTGCTTTCTACACCATTGCCAATCACCATTTTGGACTTGGAAGTGCTATTTTCCTATTGACACTTGCATTATTTCGTTTTGCATGCATCCAGTGATTATACATAAACAACATATGTAATCTGCTTATTTTTTAAAAATCCATCCATGCAAAATGGTAAATAAAGTATAAATTCTGCTCTTTTTTGCAAAATTATAATCATAGCCCATGTCTTTAAAAGTTTAAATTGGTTTCATATAAAGATCAGTGTAATAGGTCTGCATATACTTTATAGAAAACTAGCTTCTATAAAGATTTTTTCACTGTTTACTAGTGAAATGAGAAAAGCAAAGCTATTTATAAAAGGCCTTATGTCGTGTACATACGTTGTCTTTGAAATATTTGTGATTTAGTTTATTGCTTGTAAAAGAGAAATTATATAATTTATTTAGTAAATACTATTGTAAACTATAGTTTTATTGAGAGAAATAAAATATTTTGTTCTCAATTGTGGTAGTGCATTAATTCCAATGGTTTATGGTCTTTATATTTCTTTTATTAATTAAAATGGATACTCCTCCATTTTTAAGATATTCAGGGATCCTAAATAAACGGACTTTCATGAAGGAGAGAAAATTCTCTGGTTCCTGAGAAGACACAGTCGCAGACTGTACTCAACTTGTTCTGGAGACTTTCCCAAATATCCTGGTGTATTAAGTCAGCTTTCACTCTGTTTTGCTGTGGTAACAAACAATCCCCGAATCTCTGCATAGGAATCAAGAGCAGCTCCTATCTAGGACATGCCCTTTGTATGGCAGGGGGAAAAAAATGATAGTGAAACTGGCAATGGGAGCTCTTAAAGCTTCTGCTTAGATGTGGCTTACAGAACTTCTGCTCACATGTCACCAGCCAAAGCAAATGATATTGACAGGATAGAGGTCATAGGAGTGGCAAGTATACTTCTCACCAAGAAACTGACTCAGCAGAAAGGGGCGGTGAATATTTTAAGCAATTATTGCTTAAATCTACACAATTTCATTAGTGTCTCAAACAGCAAAGGCTTAAAAGGCTGCCTAATCATACAATGGGGAAAAAAAGTCTTTAGAAAGTAATATGACCAAGACCACAGAAAGACATTCCTGATGATTAAGACGCTCAGTGTAAACTACTTCACATCGAAGCAAGCCGATTCTTACAAGCAAACTTGGTATTAACTTTCGTGAAAGTAACGCAGAGCCAGGGTTACTCAGTGTAAGTAGTAATTTTGCCTGCAGAGTTGGTGCTGGCAATCTATCCTAGGTTGGGATTTCAACAGGGAATTCTAATGAAATAGACAACTGAGGATTCTTTGCCTCTCTTTCCCTAGTATTCATAGGTGCTAGCAGATACTCTGACTACAGGGGTTTACCGAGCTGGGATCCCCCTCCTCCCCGTCTCCAATTTTAAATCTACCCATTTATCTAACCTACAGACTCTTTCTTGTGCCCTCCCCTGGTGGGATTGATGCCTCTCCATCAATGCCTGAAAAGTAACTTATAATGATTTCTATTATCATGGATTCGTTTTGCCAGTTCTAGTACTTCGTATAAATGGAATCCTATAATACATACTCTTTATCTGGTTTTTGTTATTACTGTTCAACGCTATGTAAAATTCATTCATTTTGTTGTGTGTAGTAGAAGCTCATACTTAAAAAAAAAAAAAGGTCATTCTTTTTCACTGTTGAGTAGTATTCCATTGTATGACTATTCCACAATTTTCGGCTCTATTGCTGATTGGCATTTGGGTAGATTCCAATTTAAAACTATAATGAATGAGGAGGCCCTCCAGACCTCTTCCTCCACACAGCTCCAAGATGCAGACAATTTGACTTCTAGCATCTATACCAGATATGGGAGAACTTTCCATGAGAAATATCACTATCAGGAAGTCGATGACCACCCTCTAATTTGCCTAGGATAGTCTGAGTTTATGCCTGACACTCAGGCATAACAGCAGGACATTCTTCTACACTCAAAACTGTTGTCTTTTGGACCACTAAAATATAGTTACCTTACCAAGGGAGAAAGTTTCAAGATAGTAACATTGGAGGTTCCCCAGCAATTGACTCAGCCAAGGTACCCCACAGTGAATTTCAGGGGCAAGCCTTCCCCCACCCCACCACCACCAGTGCTCATAGCATTTAGTCCCCACTCTTAATGAGCAACCAACCAAGGATCACAAAACTTCTCAGGAAATTCTCTGAGACTGAAATACACCAGCAGAAAATTGGGGACTGGGGGAAACAGGGACTATAGGAAGCAAACTTAGGGGTGCCTGGACTGGCTCAGTTAGTGGAGCATGTGACTTCAGCTCAGGGCTGTGGGTTCGGGCCCCATGTTGGGTGTAGAGATTACATGAAAATAGATTCTAAAAAAAAAAAAAACAAAAAAAACTTCAAGACAAAAATTAGCATTACGTCTTTAGAGAAAACAAATTATATATGGCACCTGTGAAATAAGATCAGTATGCTACTACAAAAATGAATATTTAGAAAGCATAAAAGAAAATGTGGAAAGTAAAAGCATGTTGGCAGAAGTCAGAAACTAAAAAAGTGACTGGAAGATAAGGTTGAGGAAATATCCAAATGATTTTAAAAAGACAAGGAATAAAAATAAAATTGAAGACAATTCCACAGATCAATGTGGAATTGACCACATATATCCAATGGACTTCCACAAAGAGAAAACAGAGACCATGGAGGTAAAGAAACCTTCAAACAAATAATACAAGAAAATTGCCCAAAACTAAAAATACATGCATTTCCAGATTAAAAGGGGCTCCGAGTGCCCAGAAAAATGGACAAAAATGAACCTGACCATGCAATTTCAAACCACCAGGGATGATCATGAGATTCCATAGGCTTTCAGAAAGTAAAATTTTATATAAAGCTCAAGAGTCAGAATTCAATCAAAGTTCTCAACAGCACCACTGGAAGCCAGAAACTAATGAAGCCTTAAAAATTCTGAGAAATATTTTTTCCTCATCTCTAATTCTATACCCTGTGTATCACTTAGGAGTCTCCAGAGAAATAGGAGACACATAGACATAGCTAATAGATTTAAGAAATCGGCTCACATAATTGCAGGAAAAGGCCAATCTGAAATTCAAATGGCAGATTAGCAGGCTGGATACTAAGGCATGAGTTGATAGAAGAGTCGTGAGGCAGAATTTCTTCTTTTCTAGAAAACATTAGCTTTTCTTCGAAGGCCACCACTTGACTGGATGAAGCTCACCCATATTATCAAGGGTAATCTTTACTTTAAATCAACTAAATACAGACCCTTAACCACAACCACAAATTAATTTTCAGCCATACCTACATCAGTGTTTATTAAATACCTGGGTACTCTACCCTAGGCAAGTTGATAAATAAAATTAATGACCACACCCTGAAAAAACACTTATATGTAAGAGTAGAATAATGTATACAAAAATAATTTCCATCTGCCCTTTATCCAGAAGCTCCAAAAAGATGTGTTTTGCCAAAATGAGAGTATAAACCAAGTAAGAGAAAGCCATGAAAAAGAAAGACATCAGATCCAGTAAATAAGAGATCCAACTCAAGAGGGAGGTGAAAAGAATCCCTAGGATGGAGGTAAAGGGAAATCCCACGATGACAACAATGGAGGAGATCTAAAAATTACTCAAGATTAGAGGTCAGATGCTCTAGGCACAAGTTCTCCAAGAAGGTGAAGATACCCAAGAGATTTAAACATGAGGGCATAATATTTTAACTCCATATCCTGGGACTGATCCTAGAGTTGGAGAAAAAAAAGAAAAGGAGGAGGACATTAGAAAAACTGGTGAAATCTGAATAAAGTTTGGAATTTAATTAACAGTATTGTATGAAGGTTAAACTCCTAGTTTGGACAAATGAACGATAGTTATATAGGCTGTTTAGATTCAGAGAAACTGGGTCAAGAGTATACAGAAACTCTGTTCTATCGTTGCAAATTTTCTGTAAATCTAAACTTATTCCCCAACAAATATATTAAACTGAAAAAGAAATGGTCAAAAGATTTAAATAGACACTTCAAAGCAAATATATGGATGGCAAATAAGCACAAGACATTCAACATCATCAGTCATTAGGGAAATACAAATTTAAATTACAGTGAAATTCTACAACACATATATTAAAATGGGGCTAAATTTTTCTTAATTGACAATGACAAGTGCTAGTGAGAATGTAAAGTAATTCTAACTCTCATATTTTGCTGGTAGGAATGCAAAATGGTACAGCCACTCTGGACAAAAAAAAATCCATTTATTATGAAGTTAAACATACCTTGGTAGTTTCTAGAAGATGACAGCAGAGTGGGACCATAGGCTCACCTTGTCCTACAAATACAACTAGATAACTATCATTTCATCCTAAATACCCCAGAAATCAATCTAAAGACTAGCAGAACAAACTCCACAAGTAAAGATAGAGGCCATATCAAAGAAGGAAGGAATTTTGGAGATATGGCTTGGGAGAGAAAGAGATCATGGCTGCTGTGGTGAGGAGGGAGCTGTGGTCACAGAGAAGAGTGAGAGACAAAGTAGCACACAGGGAAAACAAATCCCCAAAGCAATTGGCTTGGAAAGTGAGAGGGCCAGAATTTCTTGAGTTCTTGTGACCAAAGGAGCTTAAAGCTTGGAGTTTAAAGGTCAGTGGGCTTAGAGGTCACTGCACTGCTCTTGAAGAGAAGGCAAGCCAACAACCTATGGACATACAGCATGGAAACAGTGATCTGAAGAGCACAGGGGCACATAGTGGGGAGGTTAGTCACTCATCTCAGAGCATGAACTGGCCAGCGCCATTTTACTCCCCAACCCCTTGGCATCAGCACAGGACCACCAGCAGGAACCAACAAAGCACCAACACTCACTACCTAACTTGATTATATCGAGTCCTGCCCCCTGTGCTCCAGTGGAACCAGCCATGCCAGTCACACTTGCCTCAGTCCCAGCATGGAGGGAGCCCCTCCCCCAGAAGATGAGCCCCAAACCTCCATTCACCTGACATCTCCTGACCAGAGACTTTCGCAAGGCCTTGGTGCCAGCAGCGGCAGTAGTAGGTCTCATTTCACAAAGAGACAGAGCACACCTAGTTAAAATGGGCCACATTCAGGCCAGGGACCAAACCCCGCCCACAACAGGCAAAAAGAGCCTCTGCAGATGACTGGCATGAAGGGTAAAGCAGCCAGGACATGAGAGCAGAGCTGAGGCAGCATACATTAGAGGCACTCCTGGAAGCACCCTGGTATACAGGGCCCTGGGGAACAGGGGACACTACACAGCAAGGCACTAGAGGAACTCTCCTTCATAAGGCCATCACCCTTGAGAACATGAGACGTAGCTGACTTTCTGAACACACACAAACAGGCACAGAGACAGACCCAAAATGAGAAGACAGAAGAATTTGCCTCAAATGAAAGAACAGGACAATGCCACGACCAGAGATCTAGGCAAAACAGATCT